TGAATTGAGTTCATTTTGCCTTGCTGGTTAACTTTTAAACCAGCACAGGTATTTTGTTATCATCCCAAGGAAATATGTCCAAATTGGCCTGTTCCTTCTCATTAGCTGAATTACTGATGTAACCAGTAATGTCCTCATCTCTAGACACCTTCCACAGAGGTCAGTCACAACCACCAGCCCATTCTCAGGGACAGCTCCTCTGGCACTATCTCCTCAGATGATCTGTACAGATCCTTCAAATGAGCCCTTCAGGCTGACCTCTCTTTTCCCCATGTGGTCAACAGCTGTACTTTATTTGTAAAGGTTGACAGTCTGGAAATATACCAAAAGTCAGGCAAGTTCCATCTGCACTACTTACACACCTCTGACTCCAAGATCTTTGCAGTCTTTTTGCTACCTGGCTGCTTTACCCCAAAGCACCTTCATCTGCTGCTGACAACCACACAGTGCCACTGGATAAAATCCAAAATATCACCTGCTGGCTCTGAAGTCAGACTGTCAGGCACAGCAGAACGCAAAATCTTTAGTATCCATCTCTCTTGAGGCCTTGATAACATCTTAGTTTCACAAAATAAAATTGCCTCTATATTGTTACTTTTCTGAAAGCCTTCAAGAGTCCCAACTGGAATACTTTTTCCTTGTCCAACATGTCTCCCTTCTTCTGTTCCGGAAGTGATTAATGCTAGTAAACAGACTAGATATTTGACAAATTAATTTCTTAAGTACTTTCCCAGCATCTGATAGCTGTTTTGGAGAATGTCTGGTGTGAAATTAGATGGAAGAGCTACAAGTGACTAAGAAGAACAGATAATGTACGGAAACATTTATGTAGACACTGGAAGCCTTCATCTTCTTGCCTCATGAATCTTTATAACTTTCTGAAAGTGACAGAATGTGAAATAGTTGCACAAAATAGTTTGAAAATCACAAAAAATATAGAGGAAGAAGGTATATTAGAAACTGCATAAACTACTGGCACCAATTCTTATTCTGCTTTCTCTCAATATTACTTTCATTCTGAACATGTATATGCAATATGATGAGCAAGAAGAGCTGTTTTTTTATTAGATATATTGCAATCTACACTATGCACTTTTCACAGTAGTCCACACTTTGTATCATAGAACATCCTGAGTTGGAAGGAACCCACAAGGATCATCAAAGTCCAGCTCCCAGCACTGCTCAGGACAGCACCAAGAATCACACCGTGTGCCTGAGAGCACTGTCCAAACATCTCTTGGACTCTGGCAGGCTTAGTGCTGTGGCCCCTTCCTTCCAAAGAGCCTTTTTTTTATAAATGCTTCTCCATAGTGGCAAAACTTGTGATGGGTCACCTTAAGGCAACAACTGCAAATGAAGCATAACTATTTTCATGGCAATATTCTGCAGGGGTCTCTGACTTAAATTTTTGTGACTCTTCACACCAGCTAACACATTCAGCTGATTCTTTTAAATTGGGATGAAAATAGTGCACTTTCTTTTGTTTAAGGCTCCAAATAAATTACTATGACATACTCATCAAAACAAAATGAGTGAAAGGCTATGCAAGTGTCAGTGACTTCAAGTTACTTTTGGAGCTAAAACAACCAGTGCTGAATTCCACAGCAGAGACTGGACAGAGAACACACTCCACTGTAACAGGTGACTTAGTGCATTAAAAATATTGCCATCCAAAGTCACTTCTTGCCCTTCAAAGTGCCACTACCTTAAAAAAAATTCAATACAACATTAATTATAGGAGAGAACTTGTGTAGATTGTCTCCAATAAATTCTGCCTGTTTCACACATAAGTATTTATTGAACCACTAAAGGTCAAAGATCAGGTGCTGAGCATATGATGACAATACTCACAGCAACAGCCTCCAGAATTTGTTTAACAGCATCAGCAGCATCTCGTTCACTGTAGTAACCCTTTTCCACAATCCTACAGAAAAAAAAGGATTAAGCATTAAGGTAAATAAATAATGCAGGCAGAGGCTTCTTTTTCAAAAATGAGATAGCAAACAATCAAATTTAAATATGACCAGTTCTCTAGAGTGCCCCTAAAAGACTTAAAAACAACTGTTTTGCAATTTAAGTTACCCATTTAAATGAAAAACAGGAGATAAAATATCAACTAAGTAAGATGCTTATAATACGTACATATTCAGTTCAAAGGTTCTGGTCTGAATTACTCTCAGACAAAACTAGACATCCTTTAGGAACTGTTTTTTCACTTTTATATTTAACTTAGTCCCCCCTCAATTTAGCTAGCCCTTTATGAAACAAAACACACACAGATCTGAATTATTCAAGAGAAAGGGTTCACTAGTTTCAAATTATCCCTCAAGTGAAATGTGCTAAACAATTGCCTTTTTTCTCCCCAGTAGAAAACTGAGGCTGCTGTAGTCAAAGAAACAGTTTCATTACAACTAAAACTACCTTTTTCTTTCTTCTTAACATTAACAGCCAGTATACTATGCTTATTTTGTATAGATGAAATGTGATAGCTTGATTTTGTAATGTGTTGACCATGTGCTGCTTATAGGGAGTTCAGCAATTTATGGGTTCTGAAGGTCCTGCAAATCCAGTATTCTTTTCCCCCTTCGCTTTTACATCAGTTCAGTCTTGCAAAATAAAGAAACCTTCAACTTTCTTCTTCAATATTATCTCCTTGGAACTTTACCACGATGAAAACACTACATTCTGCAAGAACTGCCATTAGACAATGAAACATTATAAATGCACAGTGCAGTTAAACAGAGCCAGCAGAAGATACAGATTTGCACAATTACACATGAGAAGTTAATAAAAGAAGGATCTATCAAGATGGACAATATCATGGTTACGACACCCAACAGTCTTTTTACTGCTGTTTTTTACTGTGCACAGTATTTGTGAACTACAATAATTCTCCCTCAGAGAGTTACTTTAAAGAGAAAGCATAGCCAGGTCTTGTCTAGAAACAGAACCAGTGGTGCCTACGAGAGGTTTTTCAAAATTATGTCCTGCAAGCACACAAGCCAGTTTTACAAAACAATACCCTAAAATCACCACAAAGCAATGCAGCAAGAAACTTGTAATATCTGAAGTTAAAAGTCACTGGAAAGACCTTCTGCCTAACGGTCCATAAAAAGACTCTCTGCTGGCAAGAAGCCTATACCTCTTTCTCCCCACTGCTCCTGTTCTGCAGTAACTTTTAATCACTTTCTTTCTCTGTAACAATAGAGTCACATTTAGTTGCCATCAGTGCAACACCTCATAGCTTCACAAAAGCTGATGGGAAAGGTGTTGACTAATGTACATATGAAAAGCACTACTATACACTCATTAGAAGATCAGGTGCAATAAGAAACAATGCAAAGATAGTACTCCAACAGAAACCGATGCAACAAGTATGGCACTGCGGAAAATAGTCTATTCAGAGATATTCCTAACTGGCTGCAATTGCTTTACCTTAACATTCATCATGTTCACAGATAACTAAGTCTATTGATGTGGCATCAGTAGCAGCAAGTAATTCCTCTCGAGCAGCTCTTTCAGCATGATTTCTTAGCAGCATAATTCCTTGGCCTTATTTCTAGAAATTCGTTTGGTTTGGGGTTTTTTGGGGTTTTTTTGGCAGCTCTATAGCTGTCATCACATATGCGCTGTTTAACACCTTTGATTTTTTTTTTTACCTCTCTGCTTTGGTCATCTGTTTAAACTGTTAGGGAGAGCCTTACTGGAAATTATCACCACAAGGTTAAAACAAAGCAAAGCTTATCTCATTGAGCCATTATGTTAGGCTTTTAGCCTGAAGTATAGGAAAGAGGTTACAAAAAGCCATAAATTACACAATAAAATGCTACTTTATACTTGAAAGCAAGATTCCTCCTTAGCTATTTCAGGCTGAATTATCCTCTTCTATTAGATTACATGGTGGGACCTGAGCCCCAGTGATGCTTTTGCTTAGTTCTTTTTTTCCCCCCAAGTATACTAGTTTTGCTTCCTCCTCCTTTTAAACTCAAGTAAAGTATTTAGTGTCAGCCAGATGTACCTGCCTGTAGTATCCCACCTGCCCATGCATTGAGTCCAAGAGGTGCAGGATGACCTTGTGCACCTGACTTCAGAAACATATGAGGCAGGTTTTAAGGTTTCAACAGGATTTCTAATTCTCTGGCCCACACATGTGACTAAGATCAGAGAAATGTGAAGAAATGTAGCTACAATTCAATTTACATTTCTCCCTTAATTCAACAATTTTCTCATTTTACAGTAAGGCAACATAATCTTTTTTCTATCTTTTTCAAACAGATAAACCAGGGGAAGGAAAAAAAAATACATCTCTTAAATGCAGTCTACTTCTCTGTATTTTTCTCCATTCAATAAAACCAAAGAAGAGATGAGGCTCTGAGCTTTCTGCCAATGCCCAACTAATGCCGAAATGAAAACCACTAATTACCTGACCACTGGAAACAAAAGACCAAAGAGATGTTCAAGACTGCCCTCTTGTTGACCTCAAGAGGAGCCCACCCTGACTTAGACTGTATATGGGGGTAAGGATAGCACACTGCTCTCATTATTTACATTAAATCCACAGCAGAAGAATCCCACAGACACTGTAGATAAGCCTTTGTAAATTTACACTTTAAAGTAAATAAATGTAATGAAGTGCAGGCCTCTTTTCAGGAGAGTAATGAAAACAAACTGTAGAATTATTGTGCAATGCATTTGACCCATCCTCTAATGTCACACGTGAATAACGTACCCTGTCAGGCCAATTACAGCTTATGTCACAGGCAGTTAACTTTCCAGTTTTCCAGAAGTCAAGAAATGGAAGTTATTGAGAATAGACATCTAATTCTTAATAATAATCTAGCCAACAGAAAACCTAATTTTCTGTAACACCAATTAATGAAAAAAGGCATATTGTTTCTAAAGATGAAAATTTATTTCTAAGGGCACTCTGCTTTAGAACTGAAACCTAGTTATTACATAATAAAGAAGAGTACTGAAAGAAGATTATCATGTAGTTTAGATCATGTAGTAATGCTGGGGGATCATTTGCATATCTATTTTTTGCATCCCCCTTGCAACAGTTTACATAAGACAAATGGTAGGTGTGCCAGTTTGCTTCTTCATAACAATACTCCTACCTGAGATGAACAAAGCTTCTTTACAAGGATTTTTCAATTTTAACCTGCAGATTAACAATGACTCATTGTCCTTTTTTCCCCATAATGGGAAAGAAACTTGCAGAAATTACTTATTTTGTTATTATTGAAGCAAACCCAACTATTTATAGCTAGTTTGCAGAATATCTTTAAGAAAACCATGGCTGGAGGTAGATTAAACCTTTCCTGAAAGGACAGAAAGATAGGAACAGCAACAATAAGGAACTAATTAAATACTCTCTTTGATATGCAAATGAAAGAGCCAAGTAGACCAAAAGAATGCTTGACAGAAAAACTGAGAAAAACATCTGGGAATCCAGAAATGCTTAAAGTCAAACAAAATAAATTTAAAAAAGCTTTGAAAAACACTGAATTTGGTGCTGCAAGGATCCAGGAAATTCAAGACAGAAGTTCAAAATTAAGACATTCTAGAGCAAGCAAAAATGAAGTACTGGTTTGTGCAGAATTACTTTTTCATTCATGCTTGTGTGCACACACTTACTGAAATATGCTTATTCAGCTGTTTACACTTGCATGTGGTGAGACACATGCAACCACTGACGGACATCAAACCACAGGTCTCCTAAGACACCACCTACTTTAATTTTGTCTTTCCAAGCACACATGAACATATTTGAGACAAATCTTCTTCATTCTATACAGAGAAGCAGTGAAGTACTTCCCAAGGCCCCCTCCTCTCTGCCCCTTCCCACTACCTGTGGGAGATGGAGATGCCCTTTCAGAATAGCCCCAGTCCCCAGGGTGCTGAGATGCACCTCTGCCTCCCTGTAGGGTCTGACCACCCAACAGAAACCATTCCTCTGTGACCCCCAGCCCACAGCCCTCAGTTGCACCACCAAAGCAACTGTAATGCTCTCAGCTGCTGCTGACGCTCAGAGGTGGAAAAGCCTTGTCAAGTAATGGAGCTGTAACAAATGCAGTGATGGGCAAAACCACCCCCTGCCCAGCAAGCCTGTGTAAATGGTATAATGTCTCTCTTCTGATGCATGCTCTCCCTATACGCAGTGGGTAACTGGAATTTTGACAGCTTCCACATGATCAAACACATGTTTGTGTTCAAGTGTTTCATAATTTGCAGTAATCCTCGCCAACTTCCAACCAGCCTTTCTAACACCTCTGTTCCCTGTGAGCACTTCCAGTTTTCTTGCCATATAAATTCTTCAGTTTTGCAGATGGTTTTCAGTGTAGTCTCTCCACCACAGAATTACAGAGCTTGCTTTGTTGCTTATAATGTTTCCATTATGTGTAACTTCATCAGTCCACATCAGCAGATGCATAAGCTCTTACCAGTGTTCAACATACCCCTGCAACAAACAGTATAATTTGGGAACACCGTGTAGTGGATTTTGCTCCTTTTGGGACATTCTTCTTAGGACTTGGTACTATGCTTTAATTCACTGTATTTTTATAAATGTACTGAAAGCAGTGAGATATCCAAGTAAAGGGAGGAAAGTATTGGCCACACTTATTCTGCAGAAACTTTATTAATGGTAGGGAAAAAAAAAAAAGAGAAGAGTGAAATCCTGCTAAACTAAACTAAACACACAGGATCTGAAAATAACTGAGGAAAGAGATGGGGAACCCAACACGTGATTTTAGAATCAATTTTCAGAGGAGTATTAAAATTATATTGATATACAATTTTACAGTTGACTAGAATACATGTGTCTGGGGATTAAAGACAAGCATGTCAAGTAAGTGGAAACAATCAATCTCCTACAAGAACAAACAAGTGAACTTTTCAGAGAAGGAAAGGACTAAGTTTTGG